AAAGTCTTGGATCCTTCTTCCCAGTGCTACATAATCCGCAGCAACCCGCTCTAGGTCATTCTTGGCCGTATCATTCGTTCCCACATGGAGAAGCAGGAAGGGGGAGCGATCTGAAGGTTTGATCAGCTTAAGCAGCACACCTCTCGAGATTCCAGGTCCGGGCGGCAGAGGGATGGCTCAGTCCCTCTTAGGAGGGAGTCCCCGACCACCACCACCCGTCGTTTCCTTTTGGGGGTGGTGGCCGTGGAACCCCCATCCCTAGGACTACGCATCCCATGCCTTTCAGTAGATGGTGCTCCCTTCTGGTTTCTACCTTGTGAGGTCCCTTCCAGAGCATTCAGCACTGCAGAGCCTGTGGAGAGAGCTTGAAAGCGATTGCTTACCTCTATAGCATTGGGGGAATCCCGTGCTGGCCTTTTTCCCCTTCTAGAAGTTACATGCTGCCAGTTCTCCTCTTGGTCGCGTACTGCCCTCTCTGGCTCTTCTGCCTGCTGTGCTTGAAGGATCAATTGCTGCCTTCTATCGAGGAAGTCTTCATCCTCTCTGATCAAGCGTAAGGTCGACACTTGGGCCTCCAGTCCTCTAATTTTTTCTTCCAAAATCTCGACCAGCTTGCACTTGGTGCAGATAAAATCCGTTGATTTTATCCATCTTACCATCTGACTTTATCCATCTTTATCCATCTGACTTTATCCATCTTTATCCATCTTACCATCTGATTTTATCCATCTTTATCCATCTGACTCACCAGCCAGACACCTGGAAAGTTCTCTATAGTAACTCCTATCATCCCTCCATTGACCTATTTCCCACTGATAATGAATGGTCAATTAGTTACCAAGATCATGTTACCTCATCAAACCATCCCCTTCATAAACCATCCCCTGTGTCTACACTGGCATGAATTTCCGGAACTGCTTAAAACGGAATACTATTCCGTTTTCAGTTTTTCCGGAAAAGGAGCGTCTACATTGGCAGGCTGCTTTTCCGGAAAAGCCCTTTTTCCGGAAAAGCATCTGTGGCCAATGTAGACGCGCTTTTCCGGAAAAGAGCCCCGATCGCCATTTTCGCGATCGGGGCTTTTTTCCGGAAAAGACTACTGGGCTGTCTACACTGGCCCTTTTCCGGAACAGTGTTCCGGAATAAGGACTTATGCCCGAGCGGGAGCAGAATAGTTTTTCCAGAATAGCGGCTGATTTTGTACAGTAGAGCATCGTTGCTTTTCCGGAAATTCATGGGCCAGTGTAGACAGTTCACAGCTTATTGCGGAAAAGCGGCTGATTTTCCGGAATAAGTGGCCCAGTGTAGACACAGCCATCTAGTTTAATCTTGTCAGCTTTCCCCCAGCCCTTAGTTTAAAAAGTGCTCTATAACCTTTTTAATTTTAAGAGCCAGCAGTCAAGTGCCATTTTGGTTTAGGTGGATTCCATCCTTCCAGTATAGGCTCTCCCAGAAGTTTCCCCTGTGCCTGATAAATCCTTCTCCCTGCATCATTCTCTCATCCAAGCATTGAGACCCTGCAGTTCTGCCTGCCTACCTGGCCCTGCGCGTGGAACCAGAAGCATTTCAGAGACTCTACCCTGGAGGTTCTGGATTTCAATCTCTTTCCTAGCAGCCTAACTTTGGCTTCCAGGACCTCTCTCCTACCTTCCCTATGTCATTGGTATTTACATCTACCATGACCACCGGCTCTTCCCCAGCACTATACATAAGTCTATCGAGATGTCTCGAGAGATCCGCAACCTTTGCACCAGGCAGACAAGTCACCATACAGTTCTCCCGGTCATCTCAAACCCAGCTGTCTCTGTTTCTAAAGATTGAAACCCCTTTATACGTTTAAAAAGTCTTTTGCATCTTTGTGTCAATGCAGAGTGTGTTGAGACAGCAGGGCTGTAATTCATGTTGTGCTCATTGGAAAAGGAGTTCTGTGGATGAACAATTTCCAGGTGTGCAGTATTTTCCATAGCTTGACTGAATCCTTGTTCAGTAAGAATCCAGTCAAAAGATGCCTCAGGGTCAAGAACCAACTGTTGTGTGCAGACCTTCAACTAATGTATGCAGAACATTTCCCTCTGCTTTCTCGTTTAGCCTGCCAAATTCTCCGCTCCAGCAGTAGCTTCTCTGCCCTCAAAGCTCTTCTATTTCTGAGTCACAAGGGCAGATGGAAATAAACAAGCAGCATGTTAAAGGAATGCACATATTTCACAGGCAGTAGGATAACGGGGAGGCTGGCAGCTAGATTCAAGTGAGTCCTTTTGGAGTAACCTGGATTCAAACAGAAGCCTTTGTATTATTTTGAGATTAGGGACAAGAGAGTCCACCTTTAAACGTGCAGCAGTGAAAACACAGCAGCAACTGGCTGCGCTGCATTGGATGAAAAGGTCTCAAGTGGGGTGAGTCAGAGGAACTATTTCTAAAAACATTTGTTCACTCCTTTAAAACGCTGTTTGTTCTCACCCTGCTCCTTTTTGTGTGTGTAAAGAGGAACAAACTAATATACTCAATTATTAAAACCAGATCAGATTTGGCTTCAAATGGTTCCTCTGGAGCTCAATCGCACTTACATTTTTCATGACTGCAGCCGCGGATGGGTTGGCAAGAGGTGTTTAACACGGAGCTTTCTCTTTTCTCTCTCTCTCCCAGGTGTTCACAAAATATGGGAAATGTTACATGTTTAACTCAGGAGAAGACGGGCGGCCCTTGCTTACCACAGTCAAAGGGGGGACGGGCAATGGACTGGAGATCATGCTGGACATACAGCAGGATGAATATTTACCAATATGGGGAGAAACAGGTAAGACCTATGTTCACTCTTTTTCTCCGAGGACATGTCTTGGCTGCAAATATGCTGGTGCAGCTTTGCATGTGGCATTCCACGTTCCATGGGATTCCCTCGCCCACTGGAAGCCTGTTTCCCGAGCTAGGTTTAAACGTAACCGTTTCTGAGTTTCCAAGCTTTGCAAAAGCAGCTCTAGCGTCGCACTTAGCTCAAGCACCTCAAACTCAAGGACAGAATAGTGATAGAAATGTAGCCGTGTTTGTTGAGACCGAGGCGTAAAGTGTCGAATTTTAGCATGTCCATCTGCTGTGTACATTGGACAAACGTCTCAGACACTTCGCCAAAGGGTCAATGCCCATAAAACAGATAGCAGACAGGATCACAAAGAAAAAACAGTTTCTTGCCATTTCAACCAGAAAGGACATTGTCTCAACGACTTACTTACCTGCATCCTGCTTCAAAGACCTTTCAAATCTACACCTGAAAGGGAATCCTCTGAACTGTCATTCATGCTAAAATTCGACACTTTACGCCTCGGTCTCAACAAACAATCTAATTACCTTACCCATTACCAAGATAGCTTCCCCAATTATCACCTCTAATACCATTAGCTCACAGACACTTACCTCCCCCCTCCTCCCCGCATCCCCCTTTGGTTCTGAAATTTGATTTGTCCTTTTCATATGTGTTCATTTTTTTAAATTGTATCCTTTGGTATATATGGTTGTGACTATTTTCTTCCACTATTTGATCTGAGGAAGTGGGCCTGGCCCACGAAAGCTCATCACCCAATAAACCATCTTGTTAGTCTTTAAAGTGCTACATAGTCCTGTCTTTTGCTTCAAGGACAGAAGCGAGTGAAGTGGTTCTAATGAAGACTAGGCTGCCGGCCTGTCAGCATGCCCCCCTCCCCTCCCCCATTTGATTGCCTCCAAGCTGCTCCATTACCCCTCTAGCCACAGCTAACGTTCAGAGCCTGCTCCTGTGTTTGACCTCTGCATCAGGCACTGCAGCGGGACTTCAGACTCTAAATCAGACACCTTGAAAAAGGCAAGAGCTTGCTGTGAATTCAGTTCACCTTCCGAATGGACACCTAGAAGCCTCCAGGTGGTCCCCACAATCTCATTCTTTTAAAAATTCTGGGTATCAGGTCACTGGCTTATCTGCTGTCTTGACTTACTTGGGCTAAGGCTCACAGTGCTATGCCATGCACATACTACAGCAATTCCAGGCAATCCTGCACTCTCTCCAACCTCAGTTTGGCTCTTTGTGGGATGGACTCCCCCGAGAGCCAAGGGCCATCCCAAACCTCATCACATTCCACCACTAGAAGTAGCATCATATATTAAACACACGCATGCGCACACAGCTCCGTACCAACTCAGAACACTCCGCTCCACATGTTTCTCCCTCTGGGGAGAGGATGAGAGAACAAACTGAGTGACAGCAGAGTAGTTGTGGCTCAGTCGGCTACTGGAAGGTGCTACCATCAGGAGTGTGGTATAGAAACCCTGCCAATTTGGAAGCCAGGTGTGAAGAGTAACCCTGCTGACTTCAGAATCTGTTCTTCCTGGACACGCCTTCCTTCATCTGTGCAGTGCCTCTAGATCAGTGTGTTATGCTGTATATTATAACAAGGAGGGTCTCAGTAATTAGTAATCATTAGCCCACAGACATTCACCTTCCCCCCCTCCCCCCGCATCCTCCTTCTGTTCTGAAATTTGATTTGTCCTTTTCATGTGTTCTTTTTTTAAATTGTATCCTTTGGTATATATGGTTGTGACAATTTTCTTCCACTATTTGATCTGAGGAAGTGGGTCTGGCCCACGAAAGCTCATCATCTAATAAACCATCTTGTTAGTCTAAAGTGCTACATAGTCCTGTATTTTGCTTCAGTAATTAGTGTTAGTCTGCAGTGGCAGAATTCATTAAAGGAATTTAAGGTGATATATCTGAAAATTTGGTTTCTTTTCCAACTCCTTCATGTTTGTTATACTACAGCGGAGTCTTTCCCTCAGTTTCTCAGATGGCCGTGAAGTGCTGCATAGTTGGTAGGGGAGCCAAAAGCGATTCCAGGTTTTGTGTCAAGTTATCACTGGCAGTTCTGTCGTAACAGCCACCTGTTCCCCTTTAGTTAAACACTCAGAACAAAGAGAATCAGCTCCAACCTTTGAAATGTTAAACATGAAGGGAGCTTTTGATGTGTATTTCCCACGTTGAGTTTTATCCAACAGAACAGGGGTGGGGAGCTTAAGGGGGCTGGACACAGCCCCTGGCTTGCTTGGATCCAGCCCCCAAGGCTCAGGGCTCCCCCCAGCATCGGGGAGCCTGTATTGCCGCTCCTGCCCCTCTGCAGCCCTCTGTGTGGTTGGAGCACACAAAATCTACTAGATGCCCTTCCCCCCAGACTCTGGTGTGCGAGGGGAATGCTGGTGAGTGTTTTTCTCCTTCTCAGTCACTGGCCACATCAGGGAGGCTTTGTTTGTTTGTTTTCTTCTCACTTCTGTGCAACCCCTGACTAATTTTTCTGTGGATCAGTGGCCCCCAAACAAAAAAGGTTCCCACCCCTGCTACAGAACCTTTGAAGAGGCTTCTCAGTCTTTACGTGGTGCCAAAGGACGGTGCAAACTGTTGATGGGGGAACAAGACAGAGTCATTTTATATGATCCCATTTGGGCGGTTGGCATGGAAATCCCACCCTGTTTCTTTCAAAGACAAAAACAAAATGGATGCGCACACAAAGGAGAATGGAAAGAGAAAGGGCAAAGTCTGTCTCCTTGCCACTTCAAATCTGGCCGTCGGAAATACAGGAACATGACACAGCTCCTTCAGCCCATTTGGGCCATTTGGGCACAAGCATTTTAGAGCTTTCTCTTTTCTTTCTTCTTTTAGAGCTTTTGCTTGTTCTTCTTCCAGAAGTGTTAGAAAAGACAGTTTACCTTAGCTGGCTACGCTGGGCTCTTATCAGACAGAAGGGAGAAATAGACCAGGGAAGATGAGTAACAAGAGTTGATCAAAAGAATACAATGGTTCCATCCCCGGTGGGGCTCAAAATGCAGCAGAGGTTGTAATGTTAGCCGGGGCCCCAGCTCTGCCCCAGAATGCATTTGGGAGGAGGACAATGGGTCCTCGCTGAGGGTGGCAGCGGTGGCCATAATGATGAAGCGCCTCCTTTTCCCAGCTGTTCAGTGCACAAGCTGAGTTTGAGCAAGTTGCCAAGTCCCCCCGCCCACACACACACACGCAAACGCACGCCATGTCCAGAAAGGGACAGCAGCTTCATCCCATTAATGTTACCCAGTGAAACTCAGATCTGGCGATTCCATAAGTGTTGTCAACTTTTGTGATTTAATTGGAATCTCTAGATGCTTGGTGAGTTTGTTAAAGCTCCATCTCCTGAAGTCCTGGGATTAGGTGAAACTGACCCAAGTTAGAAGACTCAGTCTTGGGATGAGGGGCTCTCCATTTGGGCTGAGCTTGAAGATCTACACTGCAATGATACAGAGTCACAGCCCGAACCACCTTACCTAAGCTCTGAAATTTGGTGCTGCAGGGTTTTATCATCGTGTACATCACATGTACCACCTGTAACCTCATCGAGAGCCATAAAGCTTGTAGCTGAAATACACTGCATTTGCACCAGTCTTTCTTCTTCCAGTTTTCCCTGACTTTAAACAGTTTGCACATCAGGCCAGATTCTGATATGTAGCACTGGTTTAGTAGCATTTTAGGGTATGTGTTCACTGCACACAAGGTGGATGTTTACATCAAGAAAGCTACCTTGATGTAAAATCCTATTCTCTAAGTAGCCCCAAAGAACTCAGTGCAGTAAGATCCTGTGGGCAGTGCAAATAAAATACCAGAATATGTTTAGAATGGAAATTAATTGTGTGAATATTTACAGTCTTGAACCACTTAAAATACAGACTTATTCATCAGCTAGAGACCACGCTTTCCTGTGCAGTTGTACAGCACCTGATACAATGAGGCCTGACTCAGCCTTCTGGATACTACAAAGATATAAATATTACCCGTGGTGATTAACCGTTCCTGTTACCATGGAAACACTGAACTTATGTCTCAGCAGGTAATTGAAGAAGTTGATTTCCAGACATTTGCATTAGAATGTAAATGCATTTGGAATTAAATCAACTCAGCTATTGTATAATGGGACTTAGCAAAGCTTTCCTTTTCTTATGGAACGCTTTGCCTTTAGACTGCCATGTACGCAGAATGTAGAAATGAATTAAAACTCTATAAGGAAGCTTAAGTCTTTGCCACTCCTAAGACTTGGGTTATTATTGTCTTCTGTTATGATTATGATTATTATTATTACAGCAGTGCACAAAGGCAATCCAAGAATGGTTGTGCGCAGGTACGGAGCAGGCAATCCTTGCCTATGATCTAAACAGACCTGTGATGGGGTAGACTGAAGCCTTGCCGCAGCCCCAGCGGCGGATATAGGGCAGGGCGAGCAGGGCAGCTGCCCCGGGCCCCATGCTTCAATAGGCCCTGCGCATGCGCTACTACCTGTCGGCTTGCTTTGTCGACAGAACTGGATGTAGTCTAGATGCTCTTTGTAGACAGAAGCTTTGTCGACAGTATGGGTACGTCTAAACTACATGGCTCCGTCGACGGAGCCATGTAGATTTGTTTTTTTGGAAAAGGGAAATGAAGCCGCGATTTAAATAATCGCGGCTTCATTTAAATTTACATGGCTGCCGCGCTGAGCCGACAAACAGCTGATCAGCTGTTTGTCATCCTACGAGGCATAAGGGGGATGTCGATAAAAGGCTTTCAGGTTGGCGCGGAGCGTCCAGACTAGCGCGCTGAGCCAGCAAACAGCTGATCAGCTGTTTGTCGGCTCAGCGCAGCAGCCATGTAAATTTAAATGAAGCCGCGATTATTTAAATCACGGCTTCATTTCCCTTTGCCTATCTGTCTAATCTACATGCCTCCATCGATGGAGGCATGTAGTCTAGACACACCCTATCTGTCGACAAAAGTTTTGTCGA